CAATCCATCACCATCCTGGATAAACTCTGGCTCTAAAAATATTTTAACTGTTCCTAATGGACTCTTCAGACCCTCGCTCCATCTCAGCATGGTGAAGATAAAGCTTTTTCCAGCATAAAGACCTAGAACAGTGATGGCGAACCTATGACACGTGTGTCAGAGGTGACACTCGAACTCATTTTTTTGGTTGATTTTTCTTTGTTAAATAGCATTTAAATATATAAAATAAATATCAAAAATATAAGTCTTTGTTTTACTATGGTTGCAAATATCAAAAAATGTCTCTATGTGACACGGCACCAGAGTTAAGTTAGGGTTTTTCAAAATGCTGACACGCCGAGCTCAAGAGGTTCGCCATCACTGACCTAGAATCACAATGTGTTCAACTTGCCTTCACTATACTCCACACTTCCCAATTCCCATTCAAGAAGTAGGCAATGAATCCATGAAGATGTCTTCCCAATAGAAAGATGAATTTATTTTCATTTAAAAATGCCCTGGCAAGGTAACTCAGTTGGTTAGAGCTAGCCCTAGGTTCCGGGTTTGATCCCAGGTCAGGGCACATATAAGAAGCTACTAATGAATGCATAAATAAATGGAACAATTAATCAATCTCTCAAATCAATAAATATTTTAAAGTGTAAACAAATTATTGAGCATAGAATCATACAAGATTTAAGAGTTGAAAAAGCCTTGCAAGTCATGTAATTCTGTGTCCTATCTATTGTAAAAATTGTTTCAATAACATCTCTGGGCAGCACATTTGTGACCTGGAATCTAAGATGGGGAGTGGGGAGAAAGGCTCTTTGACTTGAATGCCAAGTAATTCTGAGTATGTATCGCTTTAAAGAGGTGTCTGTTAGTACATAGATCTGGTAGGTAACATTGTTTGACAGAAGTAGATCAAAAGTAATCTGTGCCATTACTTCACCATCACTTGCAACACAATTCCCAGTTGTAAGAAAGCTAATTTGTAACCTATTAACAATAATTTCCAATGCCTTTAAAAAGATATGAGCTACTAAAAATACCTATTACTTTTGGGCTCAAAATTGAATAGGTTTTTTAGCTTTTAAAGATCTTTTTAAAGTATGACATAGATGGACATGGATGTTTTATTGTCATTTACTCAACAAGTACAAACAGTAAGGGCCTACTCTATGCTGGTCACTCTGCAGGGCCCTAGGAGGACAGAGAAGGCAGAAAAGACATGTTTACGGAAAAGACAGGTTATCACTCAAAGAATTACAAATTTTAAAAAGTGCTATAAAGGCAAAGTACAAGATGCTCTGAGAATACGTAATAGGGAAAACAACTGATCTAGCCTGCGACTGGAAGGATTTGCAGGGGGAGTGATGCTTCCTTCGGCTGGGAACTAAATGGTGGCCATTCACATTTATGTAAAAACAGGTCTCCATAAAATGAAAGGGTTGGTCCAATAAGCCCAACTACCTTTGGCATCTGCATCCTAAAACAACCTTTAAAAAAAAAAAAAAAAAGGCCGAAACCGGTTTGGCTCAGTGGATAGAGCATCGGCTTGCGGACTGAAGGGTCCCAGGTTCGATTCCGGTCAAGGACATGTACCTGGGTTGCGGGCATATCCCCAGTGGGAGATGTGCAGGAGGCAGCTGATCGATGTTCCTCTCTCATCGATGTTTCTAACTCTCTATCTCTCTCCCTTCCTCTCTGTAAAAAATCAATAAAATATATTTAAAAAAAAAAAAAAAGGAAAGCAAAGTATGCTATAAAAAGGCTTGAAAGCTAGTAGTTGAAAGTTCTTTGGGAGAGGGACACAGGCTTACTCATCCTTGGATACCCGACATCACCTAGTACAATGGTTCTCAACCTGTGGGTCGCGACCCCTTTGGTGGTTGAACGACCCTTTCACGGGGGTCGCCTAAGACCATCCTGCATATCAGATATTTACATTACAATTCATAACAGTAGCAACATTACAGTTATGAAGTAGCAACGAAAATAATTTTATGGTTGGGTCACATGAGGAACTGTAAAGGGCCAGAAGGCTGAGAACCACTGACCTAGTGTAATTATTATGTTAGTCACTCAAATCTTTGTTGAAATTATTAGTATCAGTATTAAACCAGTGTTTAAATTACCTTTAATTAAGCAACATAAATTCATAAAACTACATCTCCTCACACAAGGAACCCCATTTCAAACACTTCGATTGTGAGATGATGCTTTCATCTACCTCAGAGGATTGCTTTCAAGATTCAATGAGACAATATACGTCAAAATGCTGGGGTAAATTCTGAAATGCTCAGAGTATATGGCATCCTTGTAACTAAAAAGCTTGATCAGTCTCTTCTCATTAGGACAGTGTTTTAGATTCAGCTGTTTCCTTTTCCTTACCATGAGAAAGCCCTAACACAGGTCTGCACGTGCTCTAGCCTTGGTTTTCTCTGAGGGGGTGAGGCTGCACAACCTCTGAGGTCCTTTCTAGCTCTAGAACCTGACCTGTCAATGTTTTAAAAGGGCCAAAATTACAGCTCTCAGCTTAGATGTTAGACTACCTCCTCATCCACTCCCTTCCCCACGACTCCATACTTCCTTTCAGGAAGTTTTTTAAAGAGTCCTATTTTTACTTATTTTATAAGCAGATTTAAGTTGAATGTATTCATCCAAATCAGAACTTCTGAATGATCTGAAAAATTGTTGTGAAACTTTATACGCCCCTAAGAAAAAAAAATTTTTAAAAATAGTCAAAGATCAACGGAAGGACTTGTATGCATGCATATAAGCATAACAAATGGACATAAGACACTGGGGGGTAGGGGAGGCCAGGGGATTGTCAAGGGCTGAGAGAAAAAAAAGGACACATATGTAATACCCTTTGTAATACTTTAAGCAATAAAACAATTAAAAAAAAGTAAAAAAAAAAATAGTCAAAATCACCAACTGTCAAAAACAGATTTACAGCTCCTAACCGCAAAAAGTAAATTTTGGCCCCTGCCAGTGTGGCTGGCTCAGTGGTTGATTGTGACTTATGAACCAGGAGGTTATTGTTCGGGTTCCATCTCCAGTAGGAGGTGTGCAGGAGGCAGCCAATCAATGATTCTCTCATCGTTAATGTTTCTATCTCTCCCTCTTCCTTCCTCTATGAAATCAATAAAAAAAAATTTTTTTAAAAGTAAATTTTGGTTTCTGATTAAGGAACACTATCTGCCTTATTTTAAAATCAGAAAACAGTCACAAAAACAATCACTTATACTCAAAAATAATAAATGCAAACTCATTCATGAAAAAAAATTTTAATTATAATGGCTAGACAAGAGTTGAAATGTCTACCAAATACAGTGGGGCCTTGACTTACGAGTTTAATTCGTTCCGTGACGGAGCTCGTAACTCAAATTACTCGTATGTCAAATCTTAAAGTGAACGAGTGAGACACGTGATACTATGATGTTGTGGCGTTCACTGTGACGTGTGCTGCGCCAACTAGCGGTGGGGTATCTGAAGCTGGCTCGTAACCCGAATTTTAGCTCGCAACTCAAAAGCAAAAAATCGGCCGAGAGGCGGAGAGGCGGCTCGTATCTCGAAAAACTCGTTAGTCGGGACACTCGTAAGTCAAGGCCCCACTGTCATGTAAATGTATTACAAGATATTACCACATGAAAATGAAATTTTACAAAAAAATTAAAGTGCCCTGCCGAAACCGGTTTGGCTCAGTGGATAGAGCCTCGGCCTGCGGACTGAAAGGTCCCAGGTTCGATTCCGGTCAGGGGCATGTACCTGGGTTGCGGGCATATCCCCAGTGGGAGATGTGCAGGAGGCAGCTGACCGATGTTTCTCTCTCATCCATGTTTCTAACTCTCTATCTCTCTCCCTTCCTCTCTGTAAAAAATCAATAAAATATATTTTTTAAAAAATTAAAAAAAATTAAAGTGCCCAAATAAATTATGGCGCTAAAGGCAAATTTACATGTTCAAGATTTTGACTGGTTTAAAATAATGTTTTGGTGTAGTTTTGAAAAGCTCCCCTAGTTTTACCCTTCATTAAATAGTATCCCACTAAGAGAGAACGCTGTTTCCATACTTCCAGGCAAGAGACCTGTTTTTACGATGCAAACAGGGGCTACCTGATCCAGATAAGGTTTCCCACTAGAATGCTTCAGAAATAATATATGTTCAAAGAAAACTTTAACAAAACAAAGAAAGGTAACACCCTTTTTTACACTAGTAATTGCTAGAAAACTGAGTTTTTAAGCACTTGCTTATTTTTATATAAGTGTTAACTTAAAATTCTAAACTTAGCTCCAGAGAAAAGGCTGACTTGTTCAGTCCTATCAATGTCAAGAGAGCAGCTCTCTTTGACAGTTACTCTTACTGCTTATTTTAACTCTATTTTACATCTACTGAGTGTTTCCAGGCTTTAACGTTCATTCCAGTCATGATACTATAAGTTAAATGTGTGGATTACACCATTCTCTTTTTAAAGAGGTGCAGACGGGGAAGTAAAATAACTCGTCCAAGGTCAGTGCCAAAGCTGGGATTAGGACTAAAACTTCTGCTCCTAGACTACCAATGACTTCACACTCTCCCAATTCCAAGAGAGAAAAAATACAGTCAAGCGGCTTATTGTCAGCCACTTGTCACTGCATATCTCAAACACAGTGGTACACTTATAAACTCTCAACAAAAAAAGATTCACCTTGAACAAGTAAGACAACTTGCTCCATTTAGATACAGTACTGTCATCCCTGCTGTTCTGGATGCATTAAATCTCAGAGTCCATCCACGCTTCAATATGCACCATTCCCTTGCACACTAACCGCACATGGATAAGTTAACCGGCCACCGCCTCTCCCCACGCCCGGGCGCGGTGGGTGCGCTCATTTCCTCCGTCTTCGAGAGTCCAGCCAAAGACACCTACCTCTAAAGCAGTTCTCCACGAGGACCGGGTTACGTTGCTAACGAAAGAAAAGCTCCTACACTAAGTTGCTTCTTTTAAAGAGGTATTTTTAAAGGATGATGACATGCTTCGCGGAATGACGGTGAAGTCGCCCGCCAAGAATGGTTCCTGTCAAGTCGCTTCTAAGGCACGGCCGGCCCTCCCCGGGTGGGACACAGCCTGACTCGCTGGGCGAGGCTGATTCGGGCACGCTCTCCCCGAACCCTTGCGGACCAGCCCGGTTCGCTGCAAACGTCACCCGGACCTCGCCCTGGGCTCGCTGGCCACCCCACGCGACCAGGCACAAGCGGACCCCCTGCAGCATCCTCTCCTCCGAGGAAGGCTCCGCCGGCGGAGACCGTGACAGCCGCCCTCCCTCGGGGGCTCTGCAGGGAGCGAGTGTTGACACCAGAAGGAGAGGCTCCGAGGAAGTGTCAGTGCGGCGGCAGGTGAAGCAGCCCGTCGCGCCGGGCGGGTCCCTTCGGACCCGGGACTCCGGTCCTCCGCTCCCGGCCCCAGCCGCCCGATCTCTCACCCGGAGCGAGACCCGAGCGCTGCCGGGAGGCGAGGCCGTCTCAGCCAGCAGACGGCCACCCCACCTCTTCCGGGCACTCCGCAGGCCCGCTCCCGGGCCGTGTCAGAGCCTGGCGGCGCCGGCCGGACCCTGCCCGACGGGAGGCAGCGGCCCCGGGGCCTCCCGGACGGGACCCTGCACCCCGGGCCCGGCCACCGCCCCCACCCTGCTCTCCAGAACCCCCCGTCCTCAGGAACACCCCAGTGGAGTTGCCGGCCCACTCAAAAGTAAGCGCGACGGTCACCCTGGCCCCCGCGGTCACCGCCCTGCTCCCGGCATCTGCCCACGCCGCCGGCGGCCCCGGTGACGCCCGGGTCGGTACCTTGCGGACCCCCTTGTAGATATAGAAGTAGAGCTCCCGGCCCACATTGAAGCAGAGGCGGTCACCGTTGCCAGACTGATCGTTGAGGTTTACGAAGGAGACGCGGACAGGGTTGGATCCCTGCGAGTTGAAGGGCACCCGGTTGGGCCGGCTGTACTCCGAGTTCGGCAGCAGCTTGTACAGACCTTCCCGGGTGGTGAATTGGGTCTTAATCTCGTTCATCTCCTTCCCTCCTCCCTCCGTCGCCATCTTGGAAAGCAGCGTTCATCCTGCCCTAAGTGCCCGGATCACGCCCACCGCGCAGGCGCCGTCCGGGCCTCGCGCGCTCCCCCCGCCCCTTCCTCCTGGCCCCGCCCACCCGCGAGCCGGCCCCGGCGGAGGCAGGCCGAGGGGCAGGGGCGGGCTTGTTTACGGCCCGACTGCGCAGGCGTGCTCACCTGGCGCGCTCCACGCCGCGGGGGGCCGCAGGCTCCGCCCCTGGGCGCGGCCTGGGGCGGCCCCTGTGCGGCGCAGGTGAGGCCGGCTCCGCCCGCATCCTCCGCCCCGACAGGTTCGGAGATTCCTACAGTAACGGGGCTGCTGTGGGCAGCGCGGAGGTGAGCTCCGGGCGGCTGGGACCCGAGACACCCCGGGACCCGGAGGCGCTGAGGAAGAGAGCTGTCTCGGCTGCCGCCCCCTTCTGCCGCGAGGGGAGCCGGAGCCCCAACGTTGTGCCTCGGGAGGGGCGGGGGGCGGTCCTTCTCCCTTGGGACCTGCCCTCCGGCCACCCTTCCCCCCTCCCCTGCGATCGTCAGGATCCCCTCTGCACCTCCGGGCACCCGAGGACCCGAGCTTTGCGCATCGCCATCCTGTTTAGACGGATGGAGGGAGAATGGTGTATATACACCCAGCACGTGAGCTTGCAAGTCAGACACCTGAATACCTGTTATGGGTGAGCGGTGGCTGATTTTAAGAAAAGTAGGTTGTGTCGGCACTTGTGTTAAGTGTGTCTTCACCAGGTTTTTAGAGAAAAGCGGGGAGAGGACGGGAATCAGACTACGTAGGATTCACTTGTCTTCCTCGGTTATTAATAGCCCTTTGCTTAACGTCTTAGGCGGTTGATTTTTTTTTTAAAGAGGCTCAAGTGGAAACTGCGAAATAGTTTCCCAGGCATAGTTTTGTGCATATACTGTGCTGCGTCTAGATATGTAAGGGCAGGCACACGTGTTAAAGGCGAAACAGTCAGCATTTCTACCCGGGCCCTGAGCATGTTGCGCTAGAATAAGAACGTTTCTGAGGTGACAGAAGCATTCTGGCAGAATTCCGGGAGGGGCGGAAACATTTGGTACAGAAAGAATGAACGATTCCTTTAAGTTCACATTGCAGCTGGAGGGCCACAAAAGAAGTGGCGGGAAGTAAGTTCTAAAGTGAGAGGAGTCTAAATCATAAACATCTTGTGTATCACAAAGCAAGTAGATGCCAGTGGAAACTGTGCCAATGATGTAATAATGCATTTGACACTAACATCTTGTATCTTTTATTGGCAAAAAAAACAACACAACAACACTAACATTCTGCTTAATTAATAGGTCCTTAAAGTACTTTAAAATTTTCTTGTTATATTGTTTTGATGTTATCTGCGTTTACCTAAAAGTCTAATAAATATCAGAAGTCTTTTAAAATACCAGGATGTCTTCTGTGGTCACCATGGATGTATCCCAATTTTCTGTAACTGTTATTTTACATTAAAAATATCCTATATATTGCCCTGACCAGTTTGGCTCAGTGGATAGAGCGTCGGCCTGTGAACTGAAAGGTCCCAGGTTCGATTCCAGTCAAGGGCATGTACCTTGGTTGTGGGCACATCCCCAGTGGGGAGTGTGCAGGAGGCAGCTGATCGGTGTTTCCCTCTCATCAATGTTTCTCTCTATCCCTCTTCCTTCCTCTCTGTAAAAAATCAATAAAATATATTTTTTTTTAAAAAAATCCTATATAATAGAAGGCTAATATGCAAATTGTCCCCTTGACCAGGAGTTCTACAAGGGGGCAGAGCTGGCTGGCCAACTGCCCACAGCCCCCCCCCCCCCCCTCCGGCCGGCCAACCTCCCGTGGTCCCTCCCCCTGGCCGCCAGTCCTGATCGGAACTGGGCAAGACCGCCCCGATCGCCAGCCAGGCCAAGGGACCTCACCCGTGAATGAATTCATGCACCGGGCCTCTAGTATATTTATAATGATCACCTTGAGGGATAGTGACATCCTGAATCATCTATAATAATAAAAGCATAATATGATAATTAGACCAGATGCCCTTCTGGACGAAGTCAGGGCTGTGAGGAAAGCCCGGATGCCTGCTGGTGGCCTGAGGGAAGCCTGGGTCCTGGGTGCCAGAGGAAAGCCGGTGCTGACAGCTGGGGGAAGGAGGCCTACTCTTGCACAAATTTCATGCATCGGGCCTCTAGTCTAAAAATAATTCAGTTGTGTTCCCGTTATCAAGGGGGATAAAAGCATAATAATACTTTTTGGAAAAAAACTCAGCAAGCAAAAATTAAAACAAAAATATTTTGTTAGCCCGCAACCACAGCTTTCAATTACCCATAATACCTGTATGCCTCAAGCATTCTATTAGGGTTTTATTCTGTATGAATTTAACATATTTTATTGTGAGCACAATTATAATAGGCTGTTCACTTTGTCCCATCCAATGCCTTTGAATAATCTCTATTCTTAGTTTTTCTCCCCACACACTTAAGGATGCAGTAAATAATACCTGAACATATATAACTGGGCCTGACCTGAAATTCATTTCTGATTTTCAGTTTCATACTGGAATTTCTTATTGGATTTGTGCCTCCAATTCATCAGTTTCTAAACCTTAGCAGTTCCCTTTCCTTTTCTTCAAACTTGAATTATTATGTAACTAGAGGCCCAGTGCACAAATTCCTACACCAGTGGGGTTGGGCCAGCAGGGGGGAGGGGCCACAGGTAGTTGGCCAGCCAGCCCCACCCCTGATCAGGGTGTTGGGGGCCGATCAGGGCCCAGATCAGGCTGGTTGGCTGCCAGAGTGCGTGTTATAGCTACCGGTCATTCCAGTCATTCTGGTCGTTCCGCCATTCTAGTCGCTGGGCTTTTACATATATAGATAGCTTTATGAATGATTTCCTTAATTTCACTTTTTCTCTCAACTTTGCTCCTATAAACAACTTCCAAATTAATTTCCTTAAAACATTACTTTAGATATTGCATTATTGCCCAGAAACTTTCTTTTTTTTTTTTTTTTAAAGTAAAATTTTTTTTTTTTTTTTTTATTGCTTAAAGTATTACAAAGGGTATTACATATGTGTCCATTTTATCCCCCCACCCTAGACAGTCCCCTAGCCTCCCCTATCCCCCAATGTCTTATGTCCACTGGTTATGCTTATATGCATGCATACAAGTCCTTTAGTTGATCTCTTACCCCTCTACCTCCTGCCCCGCAACCCTCCCCGGCCTTCCTGCTGCAGTTTGACAATCTGTTTGAGGCAGCTCTGCCTCTGTATCTATTATTGTTCAAAAGTTTATAATGGTCTCTATTATCCATGAATGAGTGAGATCATGTGGTATTTTTCCTTCATTGACTGGCTTATTTCACTTAGCATAATGCTCTCCAGTTCCATCCATGACGTTGCAAATGGTAAGAGTTCCTTCCTTTTTAGAGCAGCATAGTATTCCATCGTGTAGATGTACCACAGTTTTCTAATCCATTCATCTACTGATGGGCACTTAGGCTGTTTCCAGATCTTAGCTATGGTGAATTGTGCTGCTATGAACATAGGGGTGCATATATCCTTTCTGATTGGTGTTTCTGGTTTCTTGGGATATATTCCTAGAAGTGGGATCACAGGGTCAAATGGGAGTTCCATTTTCAGTTTTTTAAGGAAACTCCATACTGTCTTCCATAGTGGCTGCACCAGTCTGCATTCCCACCAGCAGTGCACAAGTGTTCCTTTTTCTCCACATCCTCTCCAGCACTTGTCGTTTGTTGATTTGTTGATGATAGCCAGTCTGACAGGTGTGAGATGGTACCTCATTGTTGTTTTGATTTGCATCTCTCGGATGATTAGTGACTTTGAGCATGTTTTCATATGTCTCTTGGCTTTCTGAATGTCCTCTTTTGAAAGGTGTCTATTTAGGTCCTTTGCCCATTTTTTGATTGGATTGTTTATCTTCCTTTTGTTAAGTTGTATGAGTTCCCTATAAATTTTGGAGATTAGGCCCTTATCAGATATGACATTGGCAAATATGTTTTCCCACACAGTGGGTTTTCTCGTTGTTTTGTTGATGGTTTCTTTTGCTGTGCAGAAGCTTTTTATTTTGATGTAGTCCCATTTGTTCATTTTCTCTTTCGTTTCAAGTGCCCTAGGAGCTGTATCAGTGAAGAAATTGCTTCGGCATATGTCTGAGATTTTGTTGCCTTTGGATTCTTCTAGAATTTTTATGGTTTCCTGTCGTACATTTAAGTCCTTTATCCATTTTGAGTTTATTTTTGTGTATGGTGTAAGTTGGTGGTCTAGTTTCATTTTCTTGCATATATCTGTCCAATTTTCCCAACACCATTTATTGAAGAGACTATCTTGGCTCCATTGTATGTTCTTGCCTCCTTTGTCAAATATTAATTGAGCATATTGGTTCGGGCCGATTTCTGGGCTCTCTATTCTATTCCATTGATCTATATGCCTATTCTTGTGCCAGTACCAGGCAGTTTTGAGGACAGTGGCTTTGTAATACATCTTGATATCTGGTATTGAGATCCCACCTACTTTGGTCTTTTTCAGGATTGCTGCAGCTATTCGGGGTCTTTTTTTATTCCAGATGAATTTTTGGAGAGTTCGTTCTAGATCTCTGAAGTATGCCGTTGGTATTTTAATGGGAAGTGCGTTGAATTTATA